CCCTTAAGCCCTTCCACTTCCTGGCATTTCTGTGGCTATAATCTCCCCTGGCGTCTCTTGCAATGCTTCATTTTAATATATATTCCCCTGTCACTGCGGAACTGGATTCAGCCTCCTGGTAAGTGATACCTAAATCACTGCCGCAAGGAGGGTGTGAAATATTGGTGTGCGGGAGGCAAGGGAAACGACTGAGCACGAGAAGCTCAGGAATAGGAAATATCTGCGGCGGTGTTTGAGGTGTGCTGCTCCTCTGCGCCGGGATGATGTTAGTAGGTGAGTAGAGCAGAGAGGTTCTCCTGCCCCTCTGCTCGGCCCTGGTGAGACCACATCTGGAATATTGTGTCCAGATCTGGCCCCTCAGTTCAAGAAGGACAGGAACTGCTGGAGAGAGTCCAGCGTAGGGCTACAAAGATGATGGAGGGAGTGGAGCATCTCCCTTCTGAGGAGCGGCTGAGGGAGCTGGGGCTCTTTAGTTTGCAGAAGAGGAGACTGAGGGGAGACCTCATTCATGGTTATAAATATTTAAAGGGTGAGAGTCACGAGGATGGAGCCAGGCTCTTCTCGGTGACAAACAATGATAGGACAAGGGGTAACGGACACAAACTGGAACACAGGAGGTTCCACTTCAATTGGAGAAGAAACTTCTTCTCAGTGAGGGTGACAGAGCCCTGGCCCAGGCTGCCCAGAGAGGTTGTGGAGGCTCCTTCTCTGCAGACATTCAAAACCCGCCTGGACGCCTTCCTGTGTAACCTCATCTGGGTGTTCCTGCTCCGGCAGGGGGATTGGACTGGATGAGCTTTGGAGGGCCCTTCCAATCCCTAACGCTCTGGGATTCTGTGATTCTGTGATGCGTGTGTGTGGGTACGAGCATCATTTTAATGCCGAATTATCCGATGTGAGCGCCCGGCCGTGCTGTGCACGTGCACTGGTTGCACATGGAGCACCGTGTCCCAGGCCATCTGAAAAATCTGCTTTTTGGGGATCCTTATTGTCTTTGGCCAGCAGCGATGCTCCTGCGGTGTGCACGGGGCGGGAGCAACCCTAATTTGTTTGTGATGACCGCGTCTGGGTGAAAACGCCTTTGAAAAGGAGCGAGGTTGTCCCAGCAGCACAGGCACATTGCGTGGCTCTGCCGTGCACCCCTGTTTGTGGGGCAGGACGAGCATGTTTTAAATAAAACAGGATCTTATCCAGTGTTCCTGCGCTGGGGCTGCATTGCTGAGCCCTCATGTGCTGAAGGAGCGTCCCGCTCAGTGTCATGGCAAGAAAACACCTTGTGGGGCATCGAGGAGCATCCTAAAGCTGTGCTTGCTGCCTTCTGCATCGGGAGAGCTCACCCAAAACTCGCCGTGGTGCTGGCAGCCTTCTCGCTTCAACCTGGACCTGTTCCCTTGTGTCTGCTCTGGTCCCCTCTCCTGTTTTTGGGGAGGGCGATGGTATCTCTGCTCTGCTCGGTGCTGTCCCCTCTCCCTGGCTCTGCAGCCCTTTGCTGCCAGGTCGGTCCCCACTGAGCACGGCTGAGCGGAGCCAAAGCAGTCCCAGATAAGATCTGCCCTGCACAATGGAAACTCCTGCGTGCACTGCGGGATGAGATTTTCCTTTGAAATGCACCTTTCGGCTGTGTTTTGTTCAGCCAGCACAAGCACTGCTTATTCCAAATGATGTTTGTTGTGGGCTTTGTACATCACGACTTCATTTTTTAGGGCCAATTCATGGAAGTCGTTACAAATACAACCGAGATCAATTTGAGGTTTGGTCTTAACGAAGCCAGTGTTTGTCAGGTTTCTGCGACCTGTCCACATTGGTTTTGTCAATAAAATCCTTCTCCTGTGTTGCGTTAGAAACGGGAACGAGCACTGTGTGAGCCACAGCTCCTGGGGGATTGGGAACAGCAGATAACTTCCTATTACCAGCCTCCTTGAATCCATGCCCATGTGCCCTGGATGCCATCTTCCTGTCCCATCAGGCTGAGATGCTTCAGTAACTCTCCTGATTTCCTAAAAACTCGGTTTCCTCAAAGCGCAAGGATCCCCTCCGGGGTCACCATCGTGGAGCATCCTTGGCAACACAGATGAAGGAGGAACAAGCGTTGTCCTGGTGCTCCAGGCCATGAAGGAAACCGCCAGCCGGTCAAGTCGGCGGTGACGTTACCCGGGATAAATCACGGCGGTGGCAGCTGGGTGGTGCAGGGAGCCACAGCGCAGGGGGTGATAAAAGGGCCCCGGCTCCCATTCTGGCTGCGGGAACGGAGCGAGGACGGCGAGGAGCCGAGAGACGCCCGGAGGAGCCCGAGCGGAGCCCAGAGCCCTTCCCAGCGCCTGCAGCTGCCGCAGGTAACCACGTCTGTGCCTCCATGCCTTGGCTGTGCCGTGCACGGTGGTGGTGCCATGCGTGGTGGCCGTGGTGGTGGTGGTGGTGGCAGTGGAAGGACATGCACAGCGTCCTCAGCTGCTTTAGTCTGGGATTCTGCTGTGCACCGAGCTCCTCATCATCTGCCCGTGTCTGTCATTTCATAATCGGGTTTATGTTAATAATTAGTATTTAGAATTGTGTAGTTAGCTTATTTTTCGTGCACGGTGGTGGTGCCATGCGTGGTGGCCGTGGTGGTGGTGGTGGTGGCAGTGGAAGGACATGCACAGCGTCCTCAGCTGCTTTAGTCTGGGATTCTGCTGTGCACCGAGCTCCTCATCATCTGCCCGTGTCTGTCATTTCATAATCGGGTTTATGTTAATAATTAGTATTTAGAATTGTGTAGTTAGCTTATTTTTAGCACTTGAGCTGTAGTTTACTGC